TATCTTGGGATTGAGAAGGTTTCTTGTACTAGAAATCAGTCTGTCTCAAAAATATGTGTTTCAAAATTGCATCCTTTTGGGGAAAACTTCAAACCATGGTACAGGAAAAAGGTTATCAAGAATAAAACTACGAGTTACTATATTCAGTGGTTCTTGGGTGTGATCTTTTGATTGGTAGTCCCAATCGGCCAACTTATACTTGGATATATATTTTTGATACCCAGAAAAAATTTCCTAGAAAGAGAATCAACACACTTGGAGACTTGTTGTAAAATTTGTATTGCTAGTAGTAATAATTATACAATAGCAACAAGTCAACAACAACCATTGCATAGATAATGGTAATAATAATAATAAACAAGTGATTAGAGGAATGCTTTTTATATAATTTCCACACCCATGTAAAATGCCATGTGGTACCCAGGCTTACACGGCTGTGGGCTATCTCTTTATCAGCCTCTATAGAAAGAGTCGGAACACACTGTTGCAGTTATTTGACAAACTACCTGCAAACCAAGAGTCTGAAGATTCCATTATTTATAAGTATTTTGGTGCCTTAAAAGTTCTCAAATTCATAGAGTCAGTGAACATCCTAAGAAAAAAGCTAAAGCTGTAGGGACAGGCCACCAAATAATTGGTTGGTGTGGTTGGTTGCACCAGGGAATTTTTTTATTGGTAGCCTGCTTTTTAGTGAAGAACTTTATACACAGGAAGTATGTGGGGTAGAAGTCATATGGAGCTCTTAAGTGAGTTTATGGTGGGCTTCATAGGGAAATTGAACAAACTATTTAACTTAAATTATCCATGTAGAATTCTCCTATCTATCCGTCTCTCTAATGGAGATTCTCCACTCAAACATGAGTTTACTAAGAAATAAATCCCTTGGGAATTCAAACCCACCTTTGGTCCCTAGTATGTAATAAGGAGTAGCATATCAGTACTGATAATGCTTGAAGTGATGTCTTAACTACACCAGTTTTCCACAAAGCTGTTATATACAAGCATAAATTTTTAATTGGACTTTGGGTCTAAGAGTGGATAGGGAGATGCCTAGGGAGATGCCTAGAAACATGCTCTACATGACCGTTTTACATGGGGGTACAATAAGCGCAAGTATGAAGAAATTGCCTATCGCTATCCATAGCATTTTTAACTTTTCCCGTTGTACTCTGAACAAAACAAATGACAAGTGGTAGTTAGTCATCTATTCCTTTTCTATGAATGAAAATGATTGAAATCTTACAGAATGGTCTTCTGTCCGATTTGGAAAATTACAACAAGAAGTGATAAAGAATGCTCTTGGTACATCTTGCATGCTGAGTCAACCGAGGATTTTTTTCATGATTGTGACTATTTATATACCAGAAATCACTTATTATAAGTAGATATTACATACCTGGACATATTGTATTATCCGGACTTAATGATACCTTTGTTACTGCAGATTGCGAGTGGAAAGCTCAGGCAGGCAACGTATGTGTTGCTTCATTTGATTGGAGCTGTAGTGGAATTTGCAAGTCGTCAGAGAGGATCAAAGAGGTTCATAGGCGATGTGGTGAAGGTGAGAATGCTTTGTGGAGTGCAACCTTTTAAGCCACAGCAGTAGAAGAAATAGCAACACTTCCTAACTCAGGAAGACAAGCTAGAGAGATATAGAAGATGGTGTGGGAGTCTTCTAGTTAATGTATGTGGAGGGAGGAGGGGTATAGAGAGTACGTGTATGTAATATTCACAATGTAGAAGTACAGAGAGTGAGGAAAGGCCTTCCTGCAGGGAAACAATTTCTGTTTTAGCAGAGGAGATTGACCCTTATAGCAGAGAAAGGAAGAAAGAGATCACGACACCACCCATTCTTTTAGTGCTTGGAGAGCCATTTTGTAAGTTAACTCTATCATGGCTACTGAGCTTCATAATAAGTGCCTGTCTTTGTGGTAGCTTTTGCTGCCTTTGTTTACATATATATATTAATGAATTTTCCATAGGCTAGTGTCTCCTTTTGGTCGCTTACTTCATAATCGAACTGAGTTTATTCTATAGATTTTGCCCTTCCATGCTTACTTTCCTTCTACTTAAAGTTTCATGCGAGTTACATCAGTTCTGAGAAGTGAGAACCTGTGACTCGGATTTGACTCGCATCCTTTAGCTGAGTTAGATCATGAAGGGGCATCACAAATAGAGTTTCCAAGCTGAGTTAGATCATGAGTCATTCATTGTTGTCAATGAGTTGGGAAATGCTCACTTGGTAGTTAAAAGTTAAAACTCATAATAACACTATAAGGAGATGACACACTAGGTATGATCATGTTCAAGATAAAAGAATAAAAGCACTATAATGAGATGCCACACTAGCTAGGTGTGATCATGCTCAAGATATGAAGATAAAGAACAAAAACTAAAAATCAAAGACTTCATTTCTAAGTAATCAAATGGAACCTTCAAACTCCATGTGGAATCATATCATGCCACCTATATTACAAAAATAATACAAACAAATTAATGTGCATTATTATCTCTGGAAAGAACATCTCCACTCACTCTCATCCCACTGAACTTGAACCATGTAGTACCATGGGGGTTGGGGTCCTTTTCTAACCAGCTTTCCTTTTGAGTTAAAAGAGAGCACCTTGCAAACATTCTGAATTTCAATTCAGTTTCTGACAAATCCATGTAGTGTGCTCTTCTTTGTACTGTGACTCAGTTTTGAAAGATGAGGAATGTTTCTGAAAATCAACCTAGTCATACAAATCATCTACACAACCTTCAACTCCTAGATACCATTCTCAGACTCTCTGTAATACCCCTTAGTGCAGCATCTATATGGTTAACTGTCACTAACAAGCAGGATAACGATAGCTATGGTCAGTTAGAGTTCAGCAGCCTCGCAGGCCTGAAGTGAGTGAAAAAATCACTATCGATACTTTGTACTTCAATTCTATCTTTTGTTTTAGGTTTATAATAATAAAATTGCATTACAGGTACATGATATGTATCAATGCCATCTCTGCTGGTTATGCTATTGTTTCTGTAGTTGCTTCATGGCTTAAATGCTTATTATCAAAAGCTTGGGCTTTCTTTGTCTCAGATCAGGTTCTTTTGAAACCATTAAGCAATTTATTCTGATTAATCCATGCTTCTTTTCTTGGCTTTGTATCTGTGATCATGTGGCTAACCAAATGTTGTTTTTGTAAAGGTTGTGACCTACTTAATGGTTACATCTGGGGTAGCTGTGCTTGAGATACTTTACTTGGCTTACAATGGTGATAAAGCTGTCTCATGGAGTGAAGCTTGTGTTTCTTATGGAAGATTCTGCAGTAGACTGAAGGTGGCTTTAATTCTTCAAGCTATTGCTCTTTTCTTATACTTTCTCTTGTCCTTGATATCTTCTTACAAGGTTTTCAGCAAGTTTGAACCACCTATTGCTTCTAAAGAAATGGTGGAAGAAAGTTGATTAGAAGAGTTTTGTAAATGGATACAGTTTTTT